ATGCTATTTCCTATTATAGAAATAGTAACAAGTTGTTACATCTGAAACCCCTTATCACTAAGAGACACAGGAGCATTTTGGGGTGTAGGGAAGAATGCATATAGTCTTGCGCACATTGCTTCGATGTACTTACCAGGCAAGATGAAATATTACTTTTGAGTGAGGTCCAGAATAAGGAAAGTCTCCACAGTAACTCAAGCCTCACAGCAACTGTTTTGATGTTTGGATCGGTTGATCTCATGGTACTAAGACTATCTAGATTATACAGGGATCCTGTATGTAGCCACTGATCTACTAAATGGCATATAGAAGAACACACTATCAGGAGCAAAGGCTATGACTTCTTCAGAAATTTTTTTTTTCTTCTTTTTGATAGCAGATTGAACCTAGCAATTGGATGGTAGACTGTCACATAATGAAACCTTGTCAGCCCAGCAAGGGTCCACAATATGCATGAAGGACGGCATTTCATTGCAAGAGGAAATGGATTAGGAGAACAAGCACTAGCACAATGAACAAGCAAGTGACTCAGAGGCCCATGATCTGCTACAAAACATCTATGGACTCACGGGATATTTCCAGTGACGAATGGTCTAAAATAGTATTGGGTTTTATTTAAGGAAAGGTTTACCTAATACCTTGGTATCATCCTCAACTATGTGGCTACATAAAATTGCAATCATTCTCTAGAGTGACCAGAGAAATCAGTGAAGGGAAAATTTTTCCAGTGGGCACAACTTCCAACAGCACAGCTAGTGATTTTTTTTCTGAGACAGCTAGAGACATGGATCTACATTGCTTCATGGACAGCATTTAAGGTTTGTGTGGCTAATCAGAAGCTTAGAAGGAACATGGAAGGAATATTGGTTTACAGGAAAGCCTGAGGAAGAAGTAACAAGATACACTTCCTTGAATAGGCACAGAATGTCCCATGTGAATGTCCATCAACACCCAACCTCCACATAAAAGGATCTTAATAAAGGGCAACATGATACATCCTGTCAAGGTCTTTCTCCTTTCCACAATGAGTTCATGATCAAGATAGTCAAGGTGGTAGATATGGAGAGTGTTCATCAATTCACCAACACGAACTCCTACTTACCAAGCCTAGTCCAGCTACAGCAATTTTAAGTTCAACCAACCCAAAGTGAGGCCAAAAATGAGACCCTGAAATATCATGCTAGATTCTTAAGAATCAGGTTGCTCTCTGTTGGCGAGGTGTACCACTTGCCTTTTCTACCTACAGTGCTATTTCTAAAATTGGGATTTGTAAACTTCTGGCATTTTTCTTGTATCATCATAGTATTTGACATTACTTCTAAGAAATGGTGTGCAATAAATTAAGAGTGGGAACAGGTTTATGTTCATAAAACTCAATGGTCTTACCATATTATTCACCACCCTGAAGCAGTAGCAAGGTAGAATGCTGCTTTTGACAATTTACTGTCAGATGAATGAAAATGTAATGGTAGTATAATGTTCTGTAAGATGCAGCAAGTTCTCTATATTACACACACACACACACAAACACACACACACACACACACACATGTCGTTCTTTCTCTAGTACCTAGGATTCCTAGGTCCAAGAATCAAAGGATGGAATGGGAGATAATCCTCCACTTTTATCCCTAATGTTCAACTTGCAAAATTTATTCTTTCTACTCAAATTTAGGTTCTGCTAGTCTAGAAATCTTCATCCTTAGGAGAGATTCTTTAGCTAAGATGTAACCATGGTCCCATAGTTGATACTACCTGCTGGCCCCAAGTTGAGACTAGAGTCAGTGAGCAAAGTAGAATTTTACTATGCTAGCTGAACTGACTGCGACTATCTAAAGGAAATTAGGTGACTACTATTACATTATAGACTAAAAAGTGTGTCTGGAATATTTGGCTATCCCTTATACTGTCGTGTACTGTAAATACTTTGTTCCTTTAACAAGTAAATGGGAAATAACTCAAAATAAGCTCATTTTCCAAGTCTGGGTTTGCTCACCAATGAAGATTCATGTCACCCAAACAACCACAAAAGCCTCATCACCTGACATGCTAAAGAAAGTGATTAGTACTAACAGGCTATGACCACAAAATCAGTTATAGAAATGAAGATGGTGAGTATTATGAATACATTTTTTTTTCTTTTGCCAGCCACTAAGTTTGAACTCAGGACTTACCTCAAGACCTCATGCTTGTTTGCTTAGCTGGTGCATTTCTACTCAATCCATGCCTACAGCCTAGCTCTTTGATAGTTATTTGGTGAAGTCTCATGGACTTTTTTGCCCGGGCTGACCTTGAATCTGCAGTTCTCCAGATTTCAGCCTCCCTAGTAGCTAGGAATACATATTTCTTATTTTGATATAAACACATTTCTTTATATATTTTCCAATTCTTTTTTCCCCCCTCACACCCTCACTCCTTTATTTTAGCTTCCTGGGGTTACTATAAAAATAATACCACAAACTGTGAGGCTTATAACACAGATACTGATACTCTCCCACAGCATGGAAATTAGAAGTTCAAAATCAATGTACCAAGTAGGTCACTTCTCTTTGGGGCCATATTGGATTTTGTCTTCAGTACTTGCTAGGGAAGCACTTACCACAGGAGCCATACCTCCATCCTTGAGTTACTTATTCTGTTTTGGAGGCTTTACAGGAAAGCCTGGCCCTTGCACTTCTCTCCTAGTTTTTGGTATTTGCTGGTACTCTTTGGTGCTCTTTGGTTTATAGATATATCATTCACTCCACTGTTTCCCCATGATCACATGACATTTTTTTCTTTGTGTTGCTGACCAGACCTTTCTGGGCATACCATGTTGATTATTCATGATGATAGCTATTGGATTAAGCCCATCTTCATCCAATATGACCTGTTCTTTACTACATCTGTAATGACCCTATTTACAAATAAGATCCTATTTATACTAGAACAGCATTTGGGTTTCAACATAGCTTTTCAGCAGACACAATTTAACTACCATTTTTATCTCAGTATTTAAAATACATCAAATAGTGATCTTAGTTAGAGAAAAAGTTAACATCACTCTCAAATACATAAAGTAAAAAGGGGGCTATGTAGTCTATTCTTTGGGGGGACTTAAGTATGTTTTATCTGTAAGCGATTAGCAAAGCTTCACTTTGCTAATATTTCTATTTGGATGTTACACACAGTTAAAAGAAATGCCAATACATGCCAACAATAGATGGCCTCAAGTAATTTCGGAAAGTATACACTAAGTCAAATGAGTACCCTACTATTACTGACCATCTTTGTCCAAAAGTAGCTGGTATGCTCTCTTCCTTGACATGTGGTCTTCCAATCCTAATTAATATTCAATGATTAGAAAAGTGTCAGCAACTGAAATGGGTGTATATAGAGGAGCTGGAGTTGCTGCTTGGATTAAATTAAGGCAACAATACTTACTGTATCTTTTAAAAAATTATTAGATATATTACAGATTCATTTTATTAAATTACTAAGCATGAAACCTTTGTTGGGTTCTGAGGACAATGCATATATTAGTCAGAAATTCTGCTTTCTCAGGAACACAATTATTTCCTAGCCCAGCCTTAAAGCTGTCAGGCAACTAGTGAAGGCTAGGAACCTGGGGGATCTGGTTTCTAGAACAATGGCTTAGCTAATCCATAGTGTTGTCAGGAAATAGTTAACTTTCCTCATGAAGAAATGGAGGCTAATGATTCCAAGCAGATTAGGAGAAAAGATTTGAGTCCATTTGCAGAATTCTTGGTATGCTGGTTGCCTGGATTCCTGTCTGCCAGAGGACAAACTTTCTCTTAACATCATAAACTTCCAAAAACATAAACAACTTCCTTGTAGCTAAAGAGTAGAAACTAAATTGAGTCTTTTCCTGGCCTTGCAAAGAAGGAAGGAAAGAAAGAAAGAAAGAAGGGAGGGAGGGAGAGAGAGAAGGAGGGAGGGAGGGAGGGTGGGAAGGAAGAGAGGGAGGGAGGGAGGGAGGGAGGGAGGACAGATGAAAGGAAGAGAGGAAGGAAATTTACGATTAGAAATTTAAGATATGGAAAAATAGAAAAAAATCTGACAAATTATTATTTTATATCAAATTACATTTCAGAACCTGACTCCTTAAATGTGCTACTTCTAAAAGCCCTCAGTTAATTTGCTTACTTTTCTAACAAAAGAAAAAAAGTTTAATCATTTTTGCCAGACAAGCCAGTGAAGTAAAAATATTTTGTTTTAACATTTATAAGCAAGTGTTCACAAACATATTTATGTCAAATGTAGTCACGTAGAACTAGACATGCCTGAATTCTTCAGCTCTTATTCACACCAGGCAAAGTTCACCATGCTGCAAAATTTCCTGGCAGCCAATTCCCTCTAGGCATGTATTTTAATGAAACATAGAAACATTATTGGATTGTATTCTTTCCCTATCCCCAAATATGTTGCTTGGGGACCTAGCTAGGTATTAACAATGTGTTGTTCTAGGTGGGAGTCTGGCTTGCTGAGGCCATAAAAACAAAGAGGGCAGAGTAAGTTGTTATAATGTACTGCAATGCTGAGTCATCAAGGATGTCAAAAGAACAGGTGATAATGAAGGTGAATGAGGACTATGAATACCCAAAGACCCATAATGGCAAATGTTTATTAAATAGTCATGGGGGAGCCTACCAAATTCTAATGGCTCAATCTGACAATGATTTGATTGGGAAAGCTCAAAGGCGAACATGAACCCTTCCTATCTGTGAGGTCACTTTCCCTGGGAAGAGAGAAAGACAAATGGGCAGTTGAATCCTGGAGCTCTTTTTTGCTTTCTTGCATTGTGCTTTCCTATCTCCTCTCCATTTCCTTCCATAAAAATGTGTTCTAATTATGTGACATGTAGATATTACCAGAGTTTAAGAGAAGCTTAATCTTGAGAGTTGAGGTAAAAGAGGGAGCAAAAAAGACACATCCCCAAATGAGTTTCATTTATATAATGAAAATAAATTTTTACACAATCAACAGAAACACAGCAAGGTTTGTTTTTTTTCTTTGCGAAAAATATTTTTAAATAAATTTTTGTCTTTTTTTTTTTTTTACATTCTGATATACATATGTAACAAGGTTTATGGCACTGTAACTAGAATCAAATCCAAAAAGGAAAAGGTGGGAAGGAAAGTAATTGATATTGTTGAATTCCTTTCTCTCTCCAAGCTGGCAAATTTGAACTATTTTTCTATCATTGAGTTGCCAGCTCTAACTTTTGCACACTCAAAACACCATATTATTGCACAAAGAGCCAGTGAAGGCATATGGTATAATGGTCAGTTCCTTGCTATTACCAAAATGAAAACAAAGACAAAAACAAGTATCTCTTAAACACAGAGGAAAAAGAAAATCCAGAACATGAAACACATCAAATCAAGAGTATCCTCTGTCTTCTGAGAAATGTATTCTTAGACCACTTACTGCCCTGATCTTCTCTTTATATCCACGAGCACAACAGGGCTTGGTTTAGTGGATTTTGTTTCCTGTATGGATGGTCCAGGTGTGTCCCAGGCCTTCTATTACTTTTGGTTCTTTAATTTGTTTAAAGGATGATATCTTCTGTCTATGAACCTGCACAGACTATAGTCTTATAATCATAAACTCTACAAATAGCTTAAAAGGAAAATGGGGAGAAACAAGTTTGATTACATTTTTATTGTTGGCTTAGAAAAGTGAGCTCTTCAGTCTCCCTGCTTTTATCAGTTTACAGGGAGTGAATCTCAATGGCATCAAAAGGTTTATAGTCTTCTCACACTGGTTAAAAATAAAAAGTCTTTAAACAAGTTTGTTGCTATTCACAAACTTCATCCCCCCAACTAAAAAAAAAAAAGAAACAAACAAAAAGGAAAAGGAAAATAGAAGAAGGAAAAAAAAAAAGCAGACTCAATCTTCCTCCGTTTGTCTCCTAGCGGCAATCCTTTCCTCACTAATCATGGTCACACAACAGTCTCCACACCCATCAGCTTTGGGGTAAGGATTCGTGGTGTTACACCATTGTTTAGGTCCTCCTCAAACTCCAGCAATTGCCCCATAAAGTTAAGGTTTGGGGAAATAATTGGTCGTTTGCCCTTGACAAATTTGTAAGCATCAGTCATGGTCATTCGAGTGTGTTTCATCAAGTAGGCAATGACGATGGTGGCAGAGCGAGACACGCCAGCCTGGCAGTGGATGAGCAGTCCCTTCCCACACTGGTGAGCTTCCTCTGGAAAGAGAGAGAGAGAGATAGGAGGTGAAGAGAAGGAGAAAGAGACATGAACAGGTTTAACTTGTAGCTGAGGTTGACAATGCCTTGTGTGGTTCAGAATGGATTAAAATGGTTTCAAAATCAAGTGTCATACATATATTAGTAAGTTCTGTATGCTTAAGTTACAACTCCCAGAATTGGCTGCCATCAGTATTTGCATGAGCAAGTAGCTATATGTCTACATTTAAAGAGAGAATAAAGGAAATCAGGCACAGGAGCAGTAGACTCTATTCCTGGTAGCACTGGACAGAAGCTAGACCTACATTCAGCATGAAGAACTTGTGTGCTAAGTAAGGTACCATTTAAGTAGACTCCTAAAGCATTGGAGCTCTCACTTAAATATCTGGTTCCTACTCTATTTTTCTAAAACAATACTACTGCAAAAAGAAAAGAGAGAGAAACAGAGAGAGATTAATGAAAGGAGAGGAAGTTAAAAAAAGAGGGAATGAGGAAAGAAGAAAAAAGTATGCACACACAAAGATGTAAGTGTGTATATGTGGATCTGTATAATCCTTCTTCTAATTAGAGATGTTAATATCACTTGTGTTCTTGTGTCACTAACAAGGTCTCTCTTACCTGTAATATGGAAAAAGAAAAGAAAAAAGAACCAACACAATTGCTCTTTATATTACAAAATAGCTCTATATAGGAAATGTCACCAGGGTTTACTAAACCCTGAGCAAAATTAAGGAATAAACATCAACTAGAGAGCTATGAGATTCAGCTTCTACCAGAAAAGCCAAATGTTGCAAAGTTAACCAAAGATGTGGGGTGTTCTGAGCCAAGCATCGTCCCTCACCTAAGTGTTCAGCCTCCTCTGTGGCCACGAAGAGGCCCCCTTGTGGCTATGATTGGCAGACAAGGGGATTTCTATAATGGCCAAGTCCAGAGCAAAGGACAGAATCAACACTTCCCAAATTCTCATGTTCAATGCTGAAAAGCTCAGGAGACTAGCCCGTGAGCGTTGAACAAAACTTAATGACATTTTTAGACTAGAAGGCATCCTGAGAAAGTCACCCTGAAGGCATACCAATCAGATGAAAAGGTCAGAAAGGGGGAGGGTAAAGTGGCAGTGAGTTAGTTCCACCTTTATTACTAGCTACTAACCAGTGAACCAAGAAGTTGGATGTAAATTTTTATCTTAAGCATCTATGGATGAGACTTAATTATGAGAGATCATAGTATTTTAAGATTATAGTACTTTTATAATTTATTCTCTTTAGTACACCCCATAAATGGATCTGAAAGCATGCTATTGAGAACGAGATTCTAAATGCGAAGTCTGACTAACTCTAGCACATGAGTGATTGTGAATCCTGTGTATAACTTCTTAGAGCCTTAATCATTCTGTCTGAAAAATGCGAATGTTAGTATCTAACCAGTCTCAGGAAATGTGGGAATAATAACACTTGATTCAGGTTTAACTGAAGTAGTTAAACCCTAAGCTTGGACTCAGTTTATATTGAATGTTAAGTGGATGTTTATAAGCTCTGCTATGTTTCCCCTCAAACAATACTATAAGATTTCAGCTCATTCAATAAAATAACAATGAAAACAAAAGTGTGCCTATGTACTGTTGTGTGATTCCAAATTGTCCTTCAGACCAAATGCTGTTTGTTATTGGTTTTGTTTTCCTTGTACAAAATCAGGTAAGCCTGAATAATCTACAAGGAATGTGAGCACTTTAGTTGAAATCCTCTTAGAACCAACGTATCTAATGCCATTCATGAAATGGAAAATGATTTCTCAACTTCCTCCATCTGGAATTAAGTCAAGTGGAATCACAGTTCTAATATCATATATGAACTAGGGAGTTTCTCATCTACTTACTGACAATGATTTCTTCCTCAGGGCTCAGGGCTTGGCTCAGATTTTATTAACAAAGGACCTCAGGCATCGTTGTACCCAGGATTGCCAGTGTGGACCAATTAATAGGGCATTGTAAACATATTCCCAGTATCCTATTTTTTAAGACAAAAATGGGGGGGAACCCCTCACCTGGAAAACAAGGAACTCTCTCTGATATTACCATTCCTATGACCTTAGAAAAGTCAGTTTAATTTTTAGTCTAGTGACCACTCAGAACTTCCTTCCAGATTGAATCCTCCATGGTTGTATGTTGAAAGTACAATTGGCAAGGAAAATGGCTGGGCAAGGTAACCACAGCTGCCAACTTGCCAGCAAATCCACCAGAGCAGATGGCAATCAAACCTAAGGCATTTTTCTGACAAAGGAGCATCAAAAAAAAAAATGAAAGAGCATATTCTTCCTGAGGCATGGCCATTAATAAGGAAAAATACTGGGTCATCTCTTGCTGGAAATAAGGCTAAAATCACTTGAAAAAAGAAATGTTTAGTATCTGTTATATGCTAGTGTTCTCCAAATGATCACTTGAGAGTTACAACAATTTAAAGCTACAGCAATGGTAAAGAATAGATAGATAGATAGATAGATAGATAGATAGATAGATAGATAGATAGATAGATAGATAGATAGATAGATAGATAGATAGATAGATAATCATTATTATTAGAATGCTGCTCTGTTCTTGAGGTTAGAGCTTGCTACTGTGAGATTTTGCTCTACAGAAATGACAGGGTAAGCTTACAATGGTGACCTTTCCTACTTTGGTAAGTTTGAGGCAAACTGTTGAAGGGCACCATCTTACCAGCAGTGATATTCACTCCTATTGTTACCCAATCTTTAGCAACTGAGAAAAAGGAAGCAGATTGGGAAAACAATTCTCTATACCCTTCTCCTTCTCAGCCGTGATTATGCAATACAGAAAGAGGTTCACTGCAGCCATGGCCTGAGTGTTAAAGTCGTTGTCAGAACCAACCCTTTATCCTATGCTACCTTCCAATTACTAATCAGTGTAACTTAAAGTAGGAAAATGAAATCCTGTCATAGCCTGCATGAAGGTTAAGCAGCATGACAGCAATTCCAAGTAGAATTTTCTTTTCTTTCCCCTTTCTTTCTTTTTGTTTTCTTGTGCTCATTACTGGGGCTTGAACTCAGGGCTTCATACTTGTGCTTGGCTTTTTCACTCAAGGTTGGCACTCTACCCCTAATGCCACATCTTCACTTCTGGCTTTTTGCTGGTTAACTAGTTTCATGGACTTTAATGCGTGGGCTGACTTTGAACCATAATTCTCAGGATTACAGGCCCAGCTGCAGGTGAGATTTTCATATTGACTACATTTTCTTTCCCACTAATAATATAGCAGCAGTAGCAACTCTGCTTCCATTTCTTAGTGCCCCCTTGATTCTTCTGGTCACAGAACATGTAAGTGTTCTCTATGCATATAAGTATCTGTCATTCTTTCATTGAGAACTTGAGGGATGACAATTGTCTAGTTGAACAACAAAACTCAATGACTATTGTTCTGGTTTGAATATGAAATGCCCCACACAGGCTCATGTGTGGAACACTTGGCCCCAAATGGTGCTGCTATTTTGGAAGGTTCTGGATACTTTAGGAGGTGAGGTCTACAGCTGAAGTAGATTACCAGGAGAGAGTACTTGGGGTTGGAATCCCTATTGCTGTTTCTTTGTCTCTGCTTCCTGTCTACCATGAGATGAGTAGCCTCTGTGACATATTCCCAACATCATGGTGTGCTGTTTCACCACAAGCCCAGAATCAAGAGTTGAAGACACCAGGTTGAAACCACTAACACCATGAGCTAAAGTACATCATACCTGCCTTCAGTTGTTCTCTCAGTCACAGACTGGGAAAGCTAACACAACTGGATTTTTATGTCTGTCCTGATGGTTCCAAGATACTCTGTGTCTCCATGGGCTATGAATTAGGAAAACACTTATGTTACATGAGGTAGCAGAGACCAGACCACCTCAGGAGCAGCCTTTGGGTTGTGTTTTGTTATTGTTGTTGGCTTTGGGTTTTTGTTGTTGTTGTTGTTTTGTACCAGATTGGGGCTTGAACTCAGGGCCTAGACACTGACCCTTAGCTTTGTGCTGAAGACTGGTGCTTTACTGCCTGAAGCACACCTCCACTTCCAGTTTTTGCTGGTTAATGTGATAAGAATCTCAGACTTTCCTACTCAGGCTGGCTTCAAACATAATTCTCAGATCTCAGCCACTTAAGTAGCTGCATTTAAAAAAAAAACATAGGACTAAACTTAGACTTGCTATCAAAGCAAAAGCTAGAGAGAAAAGGAGACAAAGATAGTTACCAATGAACTCAAAAGCCTCTTCAAAGTACTGCCGCAGGTTCTGTTTGTTGCTGTCGGTGGCAGGCAGCCTCTTGTAGTTGAACAGGCCTTTCTCATAGTGGTACAGGGGAAGGTGCGTGGTGACGTTGATGATGTAGCCAATGTTCAACCGTTGCATGGTGTCTAGGTCCTGAGCATCCTGCTCATTGCCAAGGAACAGGAAGGGCAGGATGGGTGTCAGCTCTGCGTTCTCAATGTCAGGGGTGGTGGGGACAGACTGAGGTAGCATGCTCGAGATGGCAGACGCTCCGCCTCCCACCTCGCGGCACTCTTGGAGCTGGAGGGAGTTGTCACAGAGGTTTTCATGGTTCTGCTTAAAACTACTGAGTCCACCTGGAGCACAAACACAGAAAGCCAGAGTTGACTGCCTCTAATCGGAGCTAGCACAGAAGAACAACTTCCCAGTTGCAATGAATATGCATTGTTTGCTGGTGATGTGTGTGTGTGTGTGTGTGTGTGTGTGTGTGTGTGTGTGTGTATGTGTGTGTTGTGTATACACACATTTTTTCCCCAAAATAAAAACTGGAAGTCCATTTAGAGACCAGGACCAGCTTCACAAGTTACTCCATGGCGTGCTCCTTAGACAAAAGAGGGCATTTTGTTGTTTTTGTTTTTTTAATCTTCCATTATATTTTTATAAGTTTATTTTATTGTGAAAATACCATACAGAGGGGTTACAATTACATGAGCAAGGTAATGAGTACATGTCTGAGGAACAAGTGCCAGGCATCAGGCCATTTCATTAGCTGCAGTGTTAATGTTAGTGTTGTTACTGTTACTTCTATGATTGTACAGACTTTAAAAATTAGCAGAGAAATACTTGAGAAATACAAGCTAGGGTCAGATGGAATAGGAAATCCTTAGGGTCTCCATGTAGATTCTGGCCTATAGAGCTTGACTTCCAGTAGAAGGAAATCGAAAGACAGCTAGTCCTTGGCATTTGATGTTTAGAAGGTTGTGGGTATGTTAACCCTCTAAGACCCTAATGGACTCCTGAATATACACTCTGAGCCCAAAGCCCTGTACTGCCTCCCAAATTTATGGGTCTAAAACATTAAAATGTTTATGTGTTGCCTATTTCATTTTCAAAAGCTAAGTGTCCCCCCTGATAAGGGCAGTCTCATTCATGAGAATGAATCTTAGGAAAAGCATTTACCCAAAGACATTCAGTTATATACATAAAGATGTATATAAGAATATCTGACTGATGGAAAATGTTAATAACAAATAAAAAAAAGAGAAAGCTATATTACCTTTATTCCATGGAGTACTACGTGGACTTTAAAAGAATAGTTGTGGAAAGTAAAATGAAAGCCAAATGTTTCTATTTAACATTAAATGAAAAAGGAATTTGTTTAGTAATTTGTTTAATGTTTAAGCTAGAAAATTTATGAAGTTTATTGTTCCTTTTTTTCTTTAATATTTGTTACTCCCACATGGATGCCCTGGACAGATTATTATGAGGTTCCACTTCTATGGGAAAGGGCTATGAAATCTGGGCTGATATTCTTGCCAGGAAATGAGCTCTACTTCTAATCAAGCTGAACTATATACACTCAGGCCTACTCTTTGTAATAAAGGAGGTATAAGCAACAGCTATTAGCTGAAAGCCACCACAACATTTGCCTAGATAGATAGCTGCCTCACATCTGTTGGATATCCCTAGAGATAAGAGAGGAAATACTATGTGGGAACAGGATATAGTTCTACTGAAAGACGAACAGGAAGTCAACCTGACTGCCAGCTTCTCAACCTAACACATGTCCTTCTCCATTTCAAGGCTCCTCTTTGGCAGCCATCATAGGAAGCCCCAGACTGAAACCAACATAGAGTCTCATGACTTTGTTCACACTTAACTGACATAGCACCAGTGGGGCAGAGCAGGTAAGCCATCTTTTCATGTTAAGGAGCCACAGAAAATTCAAAAGGTCAATGCTATTATCAATTTCCTCATTAAAAAAAAAAGTAAACTCAAATCCTGTACCCTTTGCAAAACAAAAGGCAACATCTAACTTTGACTAATTTCTACAATAGAGCTTGATTCCTTACATATTGCTATTTTATTATGTCATAAAATAACAATAAGAAGGTTTGGGACCAGAGAGAATTTGTAAAGAAATGAAAAGAGGAAGAGGAGAAAACAGGAAGAGGAGAGAGAATGAGGAGACAAGAGAAAGAGGAGGAGGAAAAGAAACAGCAGAAAAACTTCCCCAGTGAATACTTGGAAGACATTAAAGTAAAAACTATCTATTGTCATGAACATAAGCTCCACAAACGGACTCAAAGGAATTATTTTAAAATATGCTCAGTCTTCCCTCCACAAAAGCCCCAGTAAACAGTTTCACACTGATTTGATGATAGGAACCTAATTCATTCTTTTCTTTTAAAAAATCCATTGTGACTCTTTTCCCCCTATACGTTGAGAGGAAAAAATGACAAACTCAAAATAAGGGACTAAAGGAGGACGGGGGACAGTTTTTCTGTTCTTACTTAGGGTACAAAAGCTGTAATTTATCTTAAAAGCCTAGGGTTTTAAAAAAAATTATTAAAAAAGCAAAAAAAAAAGTATGTAAGGAAAGCCACACAACACACACACACACACAAAACCCCCATCACAGAGCTTTTTAAAATTCTGTCTCCACACCTCCTTTCCCAATGACGTCAGCTGGAGGCTCCCCACCTGCCCAGTTACCATAGCAGTTACACAAAGACACACAATGACATCAGTTGGCATGATATCAGCTCTTTGAGTGCAAACAATGCAAGAAGAACTACTTTGTTTAAGGCCTTTGGTGCAACTGTGTTCTGGGGAGTCAATGACGTAATGCTAACAGGTGGCATGAGCCTTCCATTTGCCTAATGGGGGAAAAAATCCCATGGGGGATTGCTGGGGGGGGGCAGGGGGAGTGGAGGGAATCTGAGACAGACACAGAATGCTTCAAATCACAGGGTGTGTGCTCATGTGCAGAATTATGTGTATACTGTGTCTGAGCTATGTGGGAAGCTCTGCTTATACAAGATTTGGAGGAGGGCAGATAGAAAAGGGGATATTATCATCCAAACTCAATGAGGAAATTCTCATGGAGGGCAGGAAGAAACAATGGCCTGTCCCATTTCCAGTTTCTCATCAATATGAATGTCACTTCAGGGTCATGTGTCTCTATATGACAATGTGGTAAATAGCAAAATGAAGCAGCGGTAGCTCACAGTGGTGAGGTTTGTTGCTTGTTTTTAAGAGAACTTTTGAGGAAGAATGCTTTCTCACTCCTGGTTGGACGAGGGAGGGTTGGAATTTACAGTAAGAGAGAAGGGAGAAGAGTACAGTTAATATGATTGCTTCTTACAACTACTTTTGTCCAACCTACCCTATCAAATACCACCACATTTCACACTGGCGGCTTAATGAAAAGCTTTATGTTTGTTATTAACTTATTAAGAACATGGCGCACAGTGTGGTTAAATGTGGTTTAATGATGTGGTTAATGATGGCTGAAAGCAGAGGCAGGCAGACTTTCTGCTTTGTAGGATATGAGACTACCTTTCCTTGTGAAGCCTCAGTGTGCCCATCTACAAAGTGGGCATAGTATCAACCACGCATATGGTTCTGGAAGAGGATTCCCTTAGAAAGGGTTGGATAGGCTATAGAATCACATTATTCCAATATCATCACCATTGCCCTTGCCTACAATTAACCTATGTATACATGCATGCCTTACAAGCAGGGCAGGGCAGGACAGCAGCAATCCAGAGCAGGGGCAGTGATCCACCCCTAGCCCTGACAAATCTCACCCCTGTGAGATCCTGGGCAGCAGTCCCATCTCTTCCTCCCTCCATTTCCCCATACATAAAGCAAGGATTATAGCAGGACATACCTCAACGTACTGTTGTAAGCAATACGCTGGTTAATAATACAAAGTATGCTGAAATGATACCTAGCACATAGAAAGCACTTTTTTCATTATTATGGAAAGTTATTTTAAAGACCTAAAATATTACTCAATAATCAAAACGCTAGATGATAATTAAATTCATGTTTCAGCACTGGTAGTTTAAAATTTTTATTAAAAAAAAAACAAGGGACACACTTAGTTGAACAGTTTCAACGTTTGAATAATACAATTTTGTCACAAAGGAAACAACAGTCCCTTATCCTTCCTGTACAAATACATCTGATCTCATTTTATTTGGCTTAGCTTTCCCAACAAAGACTTGGAATGCCTGAGTTTGCTAGAGGAGGACTGAAATTTTAAAATAGAACTGTTCTTTCTCTTTCTCTCTCCTCTCCTTAATCCTGACCAAACTGGCCCAGCTTCCTGAGCACACCAAGGGCTTACCAATTTGTCAAAGCAAATTATTTTTGATAATGTAAGTATTTTGGGGCAACAGGCTGGGGATGGGGGCCAACATTTTCAAACTTTATTTCAGAACGAATGAGTGTGTTCAGCACATTGACTCTGAATGGCCACAAGGAAGAATGCCCAGCCCCCACGAAGGAGGAGGAAGTATGAACACCACTTAGCCAACTAGTTCTAACAGGTCCATCCAGTGACAGGGAAGGGAAGCAATGGAGTTCGGTTTTAGTGGGGAAACTTTCTGTACATGCATTTCACCTCTGGCCTACTGTAATCGTAAACACGGAATCTATGAGGAAACCCAGAAGCCATGTTTTGGATGGGAAGGAAGCTAAAAAGGTCCCACATCTACATGCAAAATCTTTAAGCAGGAGATTTCCATATTCTAAAGATGGACCACAGTCCCACACAGAAATTTGTGGCTTTATGCTATGATGGGAAACGACCAATCCCCAGGCATTAAAGGGGAAAAAATGTTCCCTAAAAGTCAGCAAACAATTAATATTCAAGGTGGTGGTAGGTATTCTGAACTGGCAAGCAAGTGTATTGATCATCCATTTGTTGCTTTGTTTTTCCTAGTGGGTTATCCATCTTTTAAAGTAAAAAAGTACATTCAAGATAATGTCAAAGGACACAGACTGGAGACATTGAATTAAAATCCTGGTTCCTGTCAGTTACTTTGACTAGCTATTTAACAACTTTGTACCTCAGCTTTTACATCTATAGTTTGAATATAATACTGTTTCATAGTGGTATTACTATGAACATAAGACCACATACTGGATATTACAATTGGGAGAAATATTGGTATAAAATGGATATTATTTGTGGATCCCAAAGTCTTACATTCACAAGGATCCTGGTATAAGACCAAAAAAAGGGGGGGGGGGAAGTTATTGTAGCTGATGTCAGGTTTCTAAGGCTGAAACCATCAGAAAAGGAGATCAGAGCAACTCAAAAATTCACAAGGCAGAATATTAT